TATGCATGTTTGCTTCTTAGAACCCCAAGAGATAGCTCCTCCTCTTTGACAAATCAGGTGGATATTTGCCCATCCCTAGTTAACCCACATAAATATTTTTACTTTATTCAATGAAATTTCAATTTTAAATTAAGTTAATAAAATAACAGTCACTTACACATTGCTTGTTTGCATGTTCATGTTGCATACTTAGCTTGCATGCTTAGGATGCATAACATTGTGCATATCATGCATGCCTTGCCTCTTGATCAAGCATGATAGAGGTTGGGTCCTTTATGTGTTTTGTGTGCATTCCATTTGACATTGAAATTGTACACTTTGGTCTCTTGAACCATCATGAATTAAAATGCGTGATTGGTGGTCCGAGGGTCGAGGACCAAACTCCCTTGAGTTCATAACATGATGGGGAGGTTGGTTGTGCAAACATTTGATGTGAAATGCATTGCCATGTCTTGTCTGTCCTCTGCTGCTATCAAAACAGGGTTCTGGCGGAAGATATGGTCAACCGACTATTTTCAGTGCCGATCAACCAATAATGGATGGCCGAGAGCATCATAGATGGTCGATGACCACTTTACCATGGCTGGTGACCATTCCTCTTGGTCGGTGACCTTCTACAGTGATCAGGGAGTGATGTTGAAGCATCCTTGGGACTTGTGCAGTCTTCAGAGATGCAGAGCAGTGTAAACAGAGGCAGCTTGTGCATGGTGGTAGATTTCTGAGCGGAGCGGAGCACGCATGCATTGGACCCTTTTCCCGAGGCTGTTTTACCGCTTTATTAGCTTAGTTAATTTGCGTAACTAGTTAAGTGGTCTGTAACTATTTAATTAGCTTGTTAGTTAGTTAAATTTGTATTATTCTTTTGGTCTCTCCGAGAGAAAGCGAATTGTGTAATAAGCGTGCGTGTGTGTGATGCATGTCTTCCAACCCCCACTTCTTTCTCCCCTTTACTTACCTGCTTTTGATGGTTAGTATTAGGACATGTTTTGATTAGCATACTTACGATAGCATGTTTGCATCCATTCATTTGTATTGCATGCACCGAGCTCGGTGCATCATACTAATTGCATAGTATTTCAAATCTAACTTGAATACATGTTATCTGTTGCATTTCACATGCCATCCATAGAATAGCCGAGCCTATTTCTAGTTGCATTTTGCATGTGTTGCATTAGCCATCTTAACATGAACTGGGATCATGTATTTGATTACGAACTAGTTTCTGTTTTGGCTTGGAGTACTAGGTAAGCATTTACGCTTTAGCATCCTTGCATATGTGTGAGTATTGCCATGATAGCATGCTTACCATGAGGCTATTTGCGTATGTGATATAACTGCCTGAATGCCTGTAGGTGAAGGTTGGATTGCTTGAATTGAGACAATTCATTGAAATCCGTATTTTAGCCTACTTGCGAGTAGCAAAACTCAAACCATTTTTCCGAACAAACGGATATGCAATGCTTTGTTCCAAATTAGGCGATCTAGTCTATACTTGTTTTGCTGTGCGTATCACATAGTAATTCTAGCTTATTAATCGGAATAAGAACGCATGTGTTTTCAAAAATGAGATATCATGTTTAGTAGTGGCCGATCTTTGATTGGGCAAGCGGGGGTGCTCATAGCTGACCTTCCACAATCGTACCCAAGTTCCTGAGCCGAGGCAACTTTGGTGATGACGGACATGTGGCCTTAGGCAACGAGTCAGGGTTTCCTAAATTTCCCAAAAATAAAACATTTAGGTGGCGACTCTGTATCTGGCAAAGCAGTCCATGTTTGGCACTTCTTTCTAAAATCTTTTTTTCAAAACGATTTGCCGGATTTGAACTCTTTGGTGATTTATCAATCTCACATCGCACATTCTGAGATCAGATTAAGAACCGTGACATTTGAGTCTGAACTGTAGTGAGCCCAAATGAACAAAACGGGATTCCCTCCTGGGACGTTCAGGGACGTCTGCAGTTTCTGGCGACTCTGCTGGGGATTTAGAGAACTTGACTCGAACTCATGATATCTTGTTTTTACTACACTTATGTGTTTCTTTGCATTGCATGTGCATTGGTGCGCTTAGGACACCGTGTTTTTCATTTGCTATTCCTGAATAGTTTGCCGGAGGCTTGCTTTGTTAAGCATGCCATAAGGCTGACCGGTTACGGGCTCTGCCGCGATGGGAACACAAACCCCAATTTTTACCGGGGCACCCTTTTGACCATTCAACCTAGTGCATATCGGAATCCATAGTGACCATCCCAAACTAGGACAGGTTGCTTACCCGATTTCAGGTTGTTTGAAACCGCTGTATGCGTAGTGAAACCCTAGTTCTTGATGAAACTAGGACAGGGAAACCCTACCCCAATATAGGGGTGTATTGGCTTTCATTTGCTTGTTATATGTGCTTTTAGAGTTGACCTCTACAGGGAACGCACATATCTGTTTACAAGTCTGGGCATCTGGCCTGCGGGCATTAGTGTTAGTGTTTTGAGAATCAGTAGTATCTGCGGGTATCAGATTCAGTTTTGGGGCAATAGTTTTGGGGAACAGTGATCAGTGATC